AATATCCAGGGCTAAACCCGGCTCTATTCAGGAGCCTGGAACTCCATCCTGCTCACCAAGATTGACATCAAAGGGCCCAGGTTCATGCAAAAGAGGAATTAAAATATGAACTCTTTCCATGAAAACATTTTCATAAAATATGGAAAATGTGTATTATGATTATGAGTATATGAATTTCTCAAACATTCTGTGCACCAACATAAACTCATTCTTTAATTTTCCACAAACACCTTGAAGAGATGTGACCCTAAAGTATCAACAGATTGCTATAGTCAGAAGAGAGCCCCAATTATCCAGGCATTAAATGTACCTTAATGAACCATGGTGCCAATTGATGCATTGATACAGGAATGAGATCTAGGCACCACCATATCTCACTTTTAGGAATGATGCCAGGAAAAACAAGAAATTGAAACCAAGTAATAGAGATGTTATCTCTAAATAAGTTAGAAATCACTGCATTAAATTTAAATGATTTGTATGCTTTAAATTTAGTAAATCAGTTGAACAACTTATAGAATTTTGTATTTTAAGCCCCATTCTAAACTATGTTTTAAAAGATTTAATGCTAACCTTTCTATAAACAACTGTTCCTATTCTTTCTCTTGCAGTGACAGTTTCTGATGAATAATGCAGTGTAAAGCTATTGAAGCAAACCTAGCCCTGAACTTTAGAAAACAACACTATTTTTGCCTGGGATAAAAATAAGCAACAAGAGATATCCAACAAAACAGTATCTGGATAAATATGAATTGTAGATGTGAATGCCATTTTCACATTAAAAGCTTTCTTTGACAGAATGAGAAAAGATATGGAAAGTGCTTGCTGCTTGACACAGTATTGTCAAAAAAGGTTCTTACTTTTAAAGCTGTAGTACCTTTGTTTCATTATGGTTTCTTTTCCAAAGTCATCTCCTATCACTGCCTTTGTTGAGCACTCCAGTCCAGAGGTACCATCCTCATTTGTGTTTGAGCGCATCAAGCTCACTGCCATCTCAAGGGTATTTCTTTCTGCAAGATTCTTCTTGAGAATATCCTCAGAATTTACTTTCTATTGTGTTAAAAAAGTATCGACCAATAAATTTTACTCCTCTAGACTCAGGATTTCCCTTACGAGTAAATGTTTCTCAAATAGATTTTGTAGCACAGATGGGGGTGTGGAAAAGATGAAGATCCATAGTGCATTTGACCCTATCTGAATGGTTTGCTTAAGAAAGCAAATACACTATTATGTGTCTGTTTTAACAAAACACATAGGCTCCTGTCCATGCGGCATATGGTCAAGAAGTTAAATATCCAGATGCCTAGAGGACAAAATGACAGCATGGTTTCAGGATGACTGGAAAGTCACCTCTGTGGCCATGTGCCATGCATGTGATACTGAAATCACTATAATGTGCAGCTTAGCAGGACATGTTTGTTTACCTATTTTTAAACTCCATCAGTTAGTTAAAGGATGTCTTTAACATTGATCAATGGACTCTGTGAGTATGTGTGACATTGATTCGGATAGAAAAAGATGGATGGTGGTTAAAGTAACCTCGCGTAGAAGAACAGTAATCTCTCCTTTGCTCCAAATTCTTGAATCACCTGTTTTGGTATCTTTTTTCATCTTATGTAAAATTCTACTCCAGGATTACTTCTTCAGAAAAGTCTTTCATATCTGAAGGAGCACCCTTTCTATCAATCTTTTTCCTCTAATTTTCCTTCATATGGTTTGTAGCCATGCAGTATTGTAACTTTGGTTTGTTTCTTATTACATCTCTCTCCCCAGTAGCAGGGGGATACCATGAGAAGAGCTTCTCTGCTTTTATCCTGTTTTATCAACAGAATCAATAATAAAAGAGTTCCCTGCATACAATGTTGTTCAGTATTTCTGGAATGAATTAATGAGTTTGAAGTCTTATTCATCCAATCTTTATTTAAGACATAAACATACTTGACAGCTGCATTTTTCTGGGTAAATTTCACTGTAATATTGGACAGGCCTGAAGTGCAGTAGAAATTTGGAGTGCTGTCTAACCATGTAGCACTGGGAAACACATATGAAATCGTATATCAGAACAGTTACTTGGTTCTGCAAAAACCTAAAGCCCCAACAGGTAGGTTGAGCACATGTTCAAAATTCCTTTAAGTTTCTTCAATTAAACAACTCTGTGTACCTCTAATTTTGTGCCAGGCTGTGTTCTGGACCCATCTGCTTTTTATTTTACATCCTCAATCAAAGTGAGGAAATAATTGCAGTTGTTTTAGCAAACGCAATTTACTAGAATCTTGATTAATGTTAAAAGTGTAACATCAAGTTATGTACTTATCCAATCATTTACTTATGAGAAACCACAAAGACTAATGTGTATTACTTTTTAACTTAATATTTTATCATATAGTAAACATGATCATAGCACATTATAAAATATTTGTTAGTTTTCTTGATATTATGCTTGTAATAAAGGATGCTTAAGCCGGTGGTTATGAGAATGGGAAGATGCAAGGTTAGTAGACAACTAGGACAAGAAGAAAACTACAACTGAGTCCAGGTTTCTGATAATAAACATATTGATGTGCATATACACAGCATGGGATTATGATACAGAGGTGCTTCTTAATGCAATACACATTTATAATTTAATTATATATGAGTACCTTTGCTTTGTAAATCCACAAAATATCATATTACTATATTTTTAATATTGGTTTCCATATCCTTGTTTTAGGACAAATTGTGAGTTTTTCTCACATGCATGTTTGTAATTGAGTCCTTGTTATATTTATTGTCTATATACGTAGAAAGTGGAATGACTCAAAGTCACTTAGTTTGGCCTGAGTGCCAGAGCTCACCTCATTCCAGTGTGATAATTCTCCACATTGATTGCAATTTTTTTGTTTGAAAACTTCAAGTGTGAATATTGAGAGGGTGAGAGACTTTTGCCAACTTATCCAGCTCTATTCTCCCTACTTTCCAATCTCACTGGAGAAAGGAAGCATTAGAGGAACCATGTCAGAAAACTCCAATTTTCCTTGACCAAGACAGGAGATTGAGAATGAAAATGAGAGGAGAACAAATGACTGCATCCCACTCAATAAGTTAATCAATAACCCCTTTCCTTCTGCCTAACATATCCTTGACACATCAGTAAAAGCACTTCCTGTACTAATTTTCAGGGGACATTAACTTTCCACAGAAACCATAGGACAATTAGCAAAACATTTCTTTAGAACATGAAAAAGTCTGCCATTGTCCAAACCTACCATGTAAACATACATTTAAACAGCAGAATGATGGACATGAGACTGCTTATGAAAGATTATATTACTGTAATAAAAGGGGGGCAATCATTGGGAGGAGGGAACTTGGGGAGAGGGAGGGAAATAAAATTAAAACAAAATATATAAAAAGTCAATCAAGAAACCAAAGGAAAGAGAAACACATTTCTCAAAATTGTATATAATGTTGTATAGCTGACATTCAGCATTTTTTTCTCTCATCTAATTAATTGTAAATACACAAAAGCTGCAATTCTCATTCCCAGATTCTTTAGGACTTTTTTTTAAGAGAGTATGGTAGGTAATTTAGATTTCCCTACAACAGAAATAAAAGTATTTAGAATGGCAAACGTCAATACTTTTTAAAACTACTCTTCATGCTGAGAAAAGAGAATTTGAAAACCTGCTAAATCTAAACGTATGGATTGCCTCTCTTCTGAGAATCCTGTCAGGTGTTCCAAATGCAGCTGGCAATCCCAGCAATTATATAGCATTTCCCTAAGATACACACTTTATACCTTATATCTATATAAGGACAATTTATATTATACTCAAAGTCATTCACAAAGACTTCATGTTTATACTTCATGACAGCTAAATTCTATAAATATGTCACTTTGCACTATTGATTTGCCTTTTGCCTCAGTATGGTTATGTTGTCTTAATATTGCTTTGAGTTTATGAAAGCAAGACACAGCAAACACCTTGGGAAAAGTTACATCAAGAGGGAAATTTTCCTGTCCCCTAGTGACACAGCATACTGAATATCTAGATTTCCAATAAATCAGCATAGCTTCATGTCAAATATTGAGTGATTTTAAGTACATCAGAAACATTTTCTTTTCTGTGGTGTTTCTATGGTTTAATTACATTGAAAAGCTTGTTAATGGTGTCTGAAACATTTTAGGAATATAGACATTTCTGATAGCCATAAAGAAAAGAAGAGAAGAACAGATGCACTAGATTAATCATATTTCACATTATTAGAGAGCAAAGCACAAATTTCTTCCCCTCAAACAATACCAGTGGACACAAGAGTAAAGACACAACTCTGATGTTTAATAACCTACACACAAGCTACAATATATTGTCACTTTTTTTTCTTTTTAATGTCTGGCAATAGCTGTTATGCCCCATTTCCTACTTTAGAATCTGATTACTGTAAGAGATATTTATGTTTCTTACTTTATGTGGAATATTTGTTGCTATGAATCTCAAATGTCAAATGAAGCTGTCATATATTCCCATATAAATTCCGAATAGTTTCAAAAGTCCCTATGGCAACTATGAACTAAGGAAGAGATCAGGATGTACGCTGCAGTTGCACTTTTATTTTGTCAGAGTTGACCTAACTCACAAAGTCAGAAGGAGTTCTGAATGATTCACGACACTTGTACAAAGAATTGCAGACATCTGGACATGTAAGTCCCAAAGGATGCTTGTAGAAAATGAGCAATCACGGTAAACATATCAGAGTGCAATCCTTAAGTGAATGGAATGGACTAGGAGAAGGAAACTCAGCACCCTAAAATAATTCCTATTAGATACCAAAATATATGTATCATTACACTTTGCCTTTAGAGAATCAGAAATAGGGTTCCTTGGAGTCCCTGACTGACCATATAGATTCATAGTTTATGATCATACTTCCCATTTAAACTCTAAGTGGGATTATGTTTTCCAAGATAAGTTAACCTAGGCTGTACGGCTTTTGGCAGCACAACCAAAAACTCCTACCTTGCTGTAGAATCTTCTAGATTGTCCTCAGCCATCATCTCCAGATCCTGCGAGCGTTTCTCATAAGCTTCTTTGAACAAATTCTCTCCTGTAACTTCTTTAGGGGTATCTTCATTTGCTTGAAGATGTTCTATCAGGTTTTGTTGGTGCCAATTCTGAAGGGCTCTTTGATAGGCAGGGGCCGGTCCTGGCACTGGTGCTAGTATATTGTGGTGGACAGGACTGTTGCTTTTCTTTAGTCCGTTTCTGTCCCGAGAGTGATTCTTCAACCTGCCCTGAACCGGGGTCCCTCTATGCTCATATCCTTCCTGCTGAAGGCAGCTTCCAGTGCTGGGCGAACCTTGAGAAGGATGACTAAACCATCTCCAGCGTAGCCTTAGGATCTGTTTCACATCAAACTCTTTCTTGCCGGACACTGACATCGTAGCAGGAGGCAAGACAAAAGCCTTCTCTCAGAGAAAGGAAACGGAGCCTTTGTTATCTCGTGTTTCTCTGCCTCTTCGGGGAATTAACAAAAGCACAAGTGCCAGGGGAGCAGTCGCGCTTGCTTTTGCTCCCCTCCCCCGCTGCCTATGGAACACTGAGAATACTTCTAGCCTTGCAGCCGAAGCAGAAAGCTGTCGCTAGTCGTGTAGGTGGGAACCCATACTGACAGGATGATGAGGTCAGACCTTAAACAAGTAAATCAGCTTAGCACAGGAAAGCAGCTACCGCAACACTCTCCAGCTGCCCGGATTGCAGGCTCGCAGCCCTCTCAACTGGGCTGCCTACAGTCTAGCTCATCTTGCGTTCTGAAGCACTTGGAGCCGCAGCTGAAATTGCAGACAAGTGAGCAGAAGCGGAGTGAGTGCTGAAGCTCACTTCTTTCTCGCTTCCTCCCCCCGCCCCCCCCCTTCAAATCTTGCCGTGTGGCAGTCATCTCACCCGCAGCTCATTTCTAAAACTGCACCACTTTGTCCCAAAAGACAGAGAAATTCATGATGATCTATTCTGGGGATTCTTATGATAGATTGTGAAAAGTAGTTCAGAAGTAAAACTGTCTTGCCATCAGTTCCTTCACACTAATTTGTTGCTATTAATTACATCCAAAACTCTGAATGTGTGAATGTCACTATGCAAACCTTGATATCAAAAACTGAACAATTTCAAAAACAAAATAAAGTGTTGGTTATCCACAGTCCTGCACATGCATCTGTTTACAAAGACACAGATCTCTCTCTCTCTCTCTCTCTCTCTCTCTCTCTCTCTCTTTCACAAACACACACACACACACACACACACACACACACACACACACACACACACGTCACATGGCCCATTAGAGGGTGTAGTATTTAAGGTTACATATGAGGAGAGCAGTGCATATCTAAGCTAGGTAGATTACAAGAAATGTCCTCTCAATGACCAAAGCTTGAAAATGAGCGGTTCATTTTGGCTCCATGCCAGTATAAACATCTCCTTATCATGCCCTTTACTTCCACAGGCAACATTAGAGGTTTAGTTTCATTGCTTAGACACCCTTAGGAGAGAATGCAATAGGGCATATTTTGAATTAATTCTAAATGACAGTATACTTCGCAGTAATAACTCTGCCCCAGGTATTTTGCGATCTGAAGCAGAATTACTATTTTGTACAGAAGTAAATGCTGCTACCACAGACTGCCACATATCAGGAATTCATCTACCAATACAATCTTGACATTGAACTTCGTTCAACTCTCATGTCATGCATAAGGGTGGTGTCCTTAGAAAGAATGTTGCATTCGTTTGTTTCTGGCTTTAATTGTGACTTAATGGTGAATGAGCTGTGTCAACTTAGACAAGTCACTTCTTTTCTTGTCAGTTTCCTCATATACTGTATGGGGAGACTAAGCAGATTTCTCAACTTCCATCAGCCCCAACATACAATGGTTTGCAAATTACTCAGAAATTTAGTGAAATGGGGCCCGGCAAAATAGCATAGTGGTTAAAGTCTTCGCCTTGCACGCCCGGGATCCCATATGCATGCCAGTTCTAATCCCAGCGGCCCTGCTTCCCATCCATCTCCCTGCCTGTGGCCTGGGAAAGCAGTCGAGGACGGCCTAAAGCTTTGGGACCCTGTACCCGCGTGGGAGACCTGGAAGAGCTCCGGCTCCTGGCTTCGGATTGGCTCTGCTCCAGCTGTTGCGGTCACTTGGGGAGTGAACCATCCAACAGAAGATCTTCCTCTCTGTCTCTCCTCCTCTCTGTATATCTGCCTTTCCAATAAATAATAATAATAATAATCATCATCATCATCATCATCCTGGAAATTTAGTGAAATGAATCTCTTTGCATTTTGGAAAATATTTCTTTCTTTTCTTTTTTTTTTCTTTTATTTTTCTTTCTCTCTTTCTCTCTTTCTTCTTTCTTTTTATTTCTTTCCTTTTTTCTAGATAATGCTTAGTTACTGTGCCCACTTGACCAGGGTGTAGGGTGCGAGATCATTCTTGGTGTTTCTGTGAGGATGATTGGATTGATCTTGAATTGGAATTGACACATTGAGTAAATCAGATTCCCTCCCTGATTCGATGAGCTTTATCCAATCAGTTGAATGGCTAACTAAAACAGAAAGCTGATTCTTCTGTGAACAAGAGGGAATTCCTCCTGCCCCACTGCCTTCAAACTGGAATGTGAATTTCTTTCAGGCCTTCAGACTTGAACTGAAACGCAACTTCATGCATTTAATGATACTGAGGCCTTGTTGGGGCTTTTAACTGACCGGATCTTTACTCTGTTAGACCTATCTTCAGACCATAGAAGGTCTCCCCAAGAGGCCACTGAACTTATCTGGACAATAAGACGCTGAACTTTATGCTAGGCAGGTGTTTGCAAGCAATGAATCTCAACTGAACTTGAACTATGGTTATGCAACAAGGTGGAGGAATCCACCATGGGGGGAGGGGTATGGGAGGGGTGGGGGGGATCCCCAGCGCCTATAAAACTGTACTACATAATATAATGTAAGCAACAATAAAAAAAAAATAAAAATAAATTCTGCTAGCATTCAGGCTTGAACTCCACCCTACTTCCCCTGAGCCTCTAGCTTGTCAACTGTAGATCTTGGAACTTGTCAACCTCAATAATCACATGAGGTGAGCACTCTTTCTTTTTCTAAAAAAAAGTTGTTAAGATGACATATTTTTAACACATATTATAGTCAAAGGCTTAATGGCTCTAATACGGAAGTAAAACATTGGATACTGGCATATTGACATAGTAAGCTAAGACTCTGCCCATGGTGCCGGCCTTTCATATAGGTGCTGGTTCATATTCTAGCTGTTCCACTTTTGATGCAGCTCCCTGCTAATGGCCTGGAAGGCAGTGGAGCAGGACCAAGGCCTTGGAACCCTGCACCATGTGGAAGATCCAGAAAAAAGTTCCTAGCTCCTGGCTTCAGATCGGCTCAGTTCGTGCCATTGTGGCCATTTGGGAAGTGAACCAGCAGATGGAAGACCTCTCTCTCCTTCTCATTGTAATTCTGTGTTTCAAATAAAAATGAATAAATCTTAGAAACAAGAAAGAAAGTGTAGAAAGTCCATAGTTCAACAGGAAGATAGAAAGGCCTATAAACAGTAATCAATAATGTGAAGCTAATTTTTTAGAATCTCCTCCCACCCCACCATGCAAACATTGTATAAATTCATCTCTTTAGTAAATCTTGACTATTGTCTAGGCTTTTCTCATATGTAGAAGTTATTACAATACACTGTCAGATGCATAATTGAATTTTACATGAGTTACAACTTTCCATTCATTTTACAGAGGGTTATATAAACCCAGTTTTGACATTTATAAACATTTCTCTTTGGTGTGTGTGTTTTCCATATTTAGCATGTAAATAATTGTGGAAAATCTGAAATGGTTCTTCTCATAGGATCCAGAGAGATCAATAATTCTTGACAACTACATCTGCATTGCCTTTCTGTTACCTAGGTAAGAAACATTTCAAGTAAAATACTTGGAATCAGATTCCGTATTTTAGACTAACTGAACCTACAGTGCGATATTGGATGCTGATGAGACAAATGGTAAGTATTAGAGTGAATGAGAGGTTAGAACACACATGCAAATAGTATTCATGATAACAAGAAGTACCACTTTGGCCATATTACTAGACTTAAATGATACCTTCTTGATTTTTTAAAAAGTTAATTAATTAGTTATTATTACACTTTTAGCTTAACATTTTATTATTTTCAGAAGTTATTTTAAATTCACGTGGTAATCAAAAGTTCAATGACTCTATTACATACAAAGATTAAGAAATAAAGATGGGGCCCAGCGCAATAGCCTCATGTCTAAATTCCTCGCCTTTAGTGTCCCAGACGCACTGCTTCCCATCCGGCTCTCTGCTTGGGGTCTGGAAAAGCAGCAGAGGATAACCTAAAGCCTTGGGACCCTGCACCCACCTGAGAGATCCGGAAGAAGCTTCTGGTTCCTGGTTTCAGAAAGGCTCAGCTATTGCCATTGCGGTCACTTTGGGAGTGAACCAGCAGATGGAAGATCTTTTTCTCTGTCCTTTTCTCTTAAAGTCTGCCTCTCCAATAAAAAAATAAATTAATTAATGAAGCATTGATCTTGTCTAAATTTACAATTATAAAAGAGGGATCTACGTACACTGAAGCAGAAAAAAGGTAATATCTGTGAGAATAGATATTCTGTCTTAATCATCATTTCTTTTCTGTTATCATATTGTCTACCTTGCACCTAGTAATATTTAGTCTATGTAATATAAGACAATAGTAGATTATAATCAAATTTGTTATCGCAAATTTGTTTATATTTATATTAAGAAAGTTTACTTTCTTTTTTTAAGATTTATTTATTTTTATTACAAAGTCAGATATACATAGAGGAGGAGAGACAGAGAGGAAGATCTTCCATCTGATGATTCACTCCCCAAGTGAACTCAATGGCCAGTGCTGTGCCGATGTGAAGCCAGGAGTCAGAAACCTCTTCCAGGTCTCCTACACGGGTGCAGGGTCCCAAGCCTTTGGGCTGTTCTCCACTGCTTTTCCAGGCCACAGGCAGGGAGCTGGATGGAAAGTGGAGCTGCTGGAATCAGAACTGGGGTCCCTATGGGATCCTTGCGCATTCAAGGCGAGGATGTTAGCCGCTAGGCCACGGCACTGGGCCCAAGAAAGTTTACTTTCTTATTAAGTACTAAACTCTTAGGAGGAAAGGAAGATATAAAATAGCTCTGCAGCCAAAATAACTGCCTAAACTAATCACTGATTATACAACTAGACTGTAAACATGTTGAATATTCAGGGCAACTTGACAGTCATTGATTCTCTTGATGTATTCTCAGCAGAAACTTGGCCAGCAAGTGAATCAGTCAGCTGCTGAAAGCATGGCATTAACATAATTCAAATGGATTGGATATTATTTTGTTTTATTTCTTTCCTATCATTATCTGATTACACCACTTTCAAAAAATAGCTTATCCAAATGCGTAATCTTCTATGTGATAGAAGTTACACATAAAGAGTCTATCATAGCCGTTAGGTGGAATGATTCACTTGACATGAGCCACACTGAGCAGCA